CATAGATGTAATTATTAATTAATGGTTCTCGGGAGAGTGCTGTTGCAGGTGTTCAGAGTTATTTTTTCCTTTAACCTAGACAGACTGGCTGAATGTTGAATCGGAAACAATAAGCAGCATCTCTTGATGGCTGCACTCTATGCTAATGGCAACCCACTGTGTGTGGGGGGAAAGCAACCTCTTGTAATAAAATTCCAATCTCTGCTCACTGAAGAATAAGAATTCCAACTTTAAAAAGACAATTGAACTTGTCAGTCAAATGAATAGCAAATTTAAGGGAGTGAATACACTTAGTGGGAGATCTTAATTCTGCATGAATGGACTTTCCCTTCTCTCCATCCAAAATCTGGTTTGCAGGACTGCAAGGGGAAGGAGAATCCACTCCACCAATGCTGTCTGTTCTGCCAGCAAGAAGATGCCATTGGATTTCACCATTAATAATTTGATCTCAAACATGAAAACATGAAAAATAGCAAGCCCAGTATGTTCTGAAGCTACAGCTTGTGTCTGAACATTATTTGTAAGCTCATTCTTTCTATTGGGTGAATTTTCTGCTATGATGTATCTTTATCTTATTTGTATGTCTCTCGTGCGTGAAAGGTAGATAGAGTTTTCTAAATCTCTACGAGCTATTAATATTCTAATCAAAACATGACACTTGATTAGCAACTGTTAAATGGTTTGTTTGTTTCCTCCCACCTTGGGAGAATCTTCTGTGCAACAGTTGACTAGTAGTACAATTATTCAGCCTACTTTCTTGCCAGACTTTTCTTATCAATTGAGATTTTTCTTCTCCTGCGTTGTCATTTAGATGACAGGATATTTTTGCTTTGATATCTAGCAGACCTTGCTTGGAAGTGAAGCATTTACATGCTGCAAAATATGACTCGTATAGTTTGCTCCTAGGCACAATTCAAAGTGACATTGATGATTTCTGAATGCCCTAAACAACTCGGGTCCTGCATACCTTAGGGGAAAACACTACTTACGTGAGCCCTTTAAAACTGACAGGGGATGGCCTACTGGAAACATCATCCATGTGTCAGTTAAGATCAGGAAGGGGTGTGCAATGAAGCATTCTTAGTGATGGCTCTAAAAATTATGGAAGTTCTTCCCAAGGGAGACCCATTGACTGTCTTTTATCCAATGCTTTACAGAAGGACTAGCTTCCAGTTAGACTCAGTTTCTGGTGTGGCTTTTATCTGTTTGCTTTAGAGGTGGTGGCTGCCTCAGCATAGGGGACCAAACCAGCACTTGGTACCAGTGGAACCACAGTAGAATTAGACTGTAAGAACCCTCACTAGTTTAAATAACTGCACAAACCTAATGGGGGTAATTTGTTGATTCAAAATATATTGGCACTCCTTTTTTAGTGGCTTTTGAATACTGCCGTTGGGTCACTTCAACAATGCTAACTAGGCTGTTGCAAAAAGTATTTCCGTCTTTCAGACCTACAGTGGTACCTCGGGTTACAAACCTCGGGTTTCACACACTTCGGGTTACAGACTCCGCTAACCCGGAAGTAGTACCTCGGGTTAAGAACTTTACCTCAGGATGAGAACAGAAATCGCACACCAGTGGCATGGCGGCAGCAGGAGGCCCCATTAGCTAAACTGATACCTCAGGTTAAGAACGGTTTCAGGTTAAGAACGGACCTCCAGAACGAATTAAGTTCATAACCAGAGGTACCACTGTATTTGTCAGTGACCAGTAAAAAAAAAGAAAAAGAAAGAAAGAACTGTCTGATGGTACATAAAATACAATGGGTCAAAATGAGTTCTCCTCCCCTGCATCAGTACACTAAAAGTATTGGTAAAGCACTTTTAAGAAAGCACTACTGACAAAAACAAGAAATGGTATTTCCAAATCAATAAAATCTGTGGATGACTCATTTTGCATACAAAGAAGGGAGCACTTATGTGGTTTTTGACCTTGTGGCAATTGAATTGTTGGGGCTAAAAATGCTGGATAGAGACACAGATAAAAGAGAATATGTCCCGTTTGATCATTCTTGGATCATTACTACAGTTCATCACTTGGCCTTCATGTTGTGCAAGGCTTTCACCAGAATAAACTGGATATTAAAAGGAGCTTAACATTGCCTTCCAAAAATAGAGCTCTCTATTAGAACTAAAAAATTTAGGGGGAAAGTTTTCTGTCAATCCTATATTAATTAGAAAAGTATTTCCCGCTCGTAAGGTTTATTTTGCTTGCCGTATTTCTTTGGTAGGGTTTGGAAGAGATACCAATGCTGTTGCTTTTCTTCTCATATCGCACTGCAATATTGAAACTCTTGGATCTAGTGTGGTGTAGAGAGGCTCACTGGGTGGACTTGGGCCAGTTCCTGCCTAACCTACCTCACAGGATTGTTGTGGGGTTTAAATAAGAAGGGAGAGAATCATGTATGCCACCTTGAGCTCCTTGAAGAAAAAGGTGGGATAGAAATGCAGCAAATAAATAATAACTAATAATTAAAAAATTCTTCATGGGAGCCATCTCCTAAACATTAACAACTTACACCATTGTTTCAACAGGAAGCTGTGCAAGTGTATGTTACCGTTATAAAATATGTATTATTGTTTATCTTTGCATATATTAGGACAGACACTAAAAAACAAACAAGCCCAAGGCAGCAGTGCCTTCTGTTTGTTCATACTAGTCTTTATTTAGCTTAAGACTTGGCTTGCAGTATTTTCCTTTCTCTCCTTTAAAATCAGTTTTATATTTTAAGAGTAACAATTAAAGGAACCAATTATGGCTTCTCAGATAACATTGGCTGCATTCACACAGCATGATAAGCTGTGGTTTATGTTATGGTTTTATATACTACTTTTTGGCCCAAAGACCCCCCTGCCCCAAAGCATGAGACATAGGTAGTAGTAGTTGTTAGGAGAAAAACGGGGGCCTAATTTGAATAGTAGAATGTCTGGCATCTGGTGGCTTTTGTGTTGTGCTCTGGAATCGGCCCCTCCCTTTGTGTGTTCAGTTAAGTTCTATTAGAGAGACCAACTGTCATTTTTGTTTCTTACCTCAAGTTGTTTTAGTTTCTCCCAGAGTGTATGTTATTGTGTTACAGTTTTCTTTATTATTAAAGCTTTGTTTGACATATATGTGAGCCGCTTACTTTGCTGAAAGAAAAGAAACTCCGCTGAAGAATGGTGGAATATCCTAAACTGTGTGAGTGAGGGGATATTCCCAGTCTGGCAGGAGGATTGATTTTATTAATCACCCCACCCTCTGCAACAGTTGTATGCCTACATTTTCTGCTTAGGTTGTCAGAAGTAAAATGGAGAGTACTCACTCTAAAAGACATAAATGTTGCAATAGGAAATGACATTTGAGCTAATGATCTGCACCTTCTTTTTCTTAGGAGAGAGCTATGTGTGTGGTTCGATAGAGCCCTTCAAGAAGCTGGAGTACACAAAGAATGTAAATCCCAATTGGTCAGTGAATGTGAAAACCACCTCCGCTGCCCGCACAGTGGCCTCTCTTGCCTCGGCCAAAGGAAGCCCTTCAGACCAGAAGGAGAACAAGGATTTCATTAGGCCTAAACTGGTCACAATCATCAGGAGTGGTGTGAAGCCCCGTAAAGCAGTCCGGATTCTGCTTAACAAGAAGACAGCGCATTCATTTGAGCAGGTTCTCACTGATATCACTGATGCCATCAAACTGGATTCCGGAGTAGTTAAGCGCCTGTACACACTGGATGGGAAACAGGTAAGAGAATAGCTTAAGCTACCTTATTAAACAACAACAACCTCACAAAAGTCTAGCTAGATCTGGTGGCTCTTTTGATGAAAACTCCCTTTTCTCTGGCCAAAGATCTTGCAGCCTTGATGTAATAAGGACCTAAGCCATACTTAACACCTTGCAAAATTCTATACCTCACAAAGTAGTTATTTTTAACTTTAGTCTTTAAATTTAGTTAGTTATTTTCAGAATTCAGATACATAAATAACTAAATATTGCATTTCTAAAGCATACAATTTCATACCTTGTTATAAAAAATCAAGTTATAAAACATGTTGATGTGTTTTTAAGTTTAAAACAATAAAAAAATAGCAATACTCAGCTGAATTTAATTACTGAATTACTGTTTTAATATGTGTGTGTGTTTATGTGTGTGTGTTATACAATGCAAGAAAAGCTCAACATATTTCAAGAACTGCTTAAGCAGCAACCATAAAATATTTTCTCAAGTGTTTTCTGCTGTATTATGTCATCTATAAGACAATGGCCAGTGTAGACATTATCACCAGAATGAACATTACTGCTATTTGGGGGAAAGTCCCCCTGCTACCTCTTGTATTGGGCTCCTTTTAATTCTACAGTTCTGAACATGTTTGCCTTTCCTTTCTCCAGCTGTGCCATTTTCCCAGGTAGGGAAAAATGTAGTTCTCTCTCTCTCTCTCTCTCTCTCTCTCTCACACACACACACACACACACACACGAATATTCCTGTAGTACAGAAAGATTCTAGAGGCAGACTTGGGAGTAAAGACTGAATCAACTGCTGAGCATTGTCTCTTTGATTGGTTGGGGCTCCATGCTTCAGTTCACAACAGACTTTTCACTTGGGATAACAGGAAATGTAGACTGTTGGTAGGGAATGGTTCCCCCTGCCTTTTTTGTTTTGGGCTTGTACCAAGATTTTAGATATGTCAAGAACCATCTGTGGGGAACACAGATCTAACCCTTCTGTGTCCCCCACCCCATAAGTTATTTTTATCAAATCACTTTGGCAACTGGCTAGCACCTCTGGATCACACATAGTCCTATCAAACCAATTACAGTGATGGCGGCTCCTTATATTCCCTCCTAGAGTGTACAAATTTAATAATATTTTATAATGGTGGTAGTGGTGGTGGTGATGATGATGTAAGCATTGTCATAAGAGCTGATGCATCACTGATCTCCAGCAGTGGTACTGATGGTTTCTCAGATTAATGCCAGGGCAGACACAGTGTCATGAAACATATTAGCCACTCTAGGGTGAAATTCAACTAGGTTTAACTCAGAATAGACCCATTGCAATTAATAAACCTAACTCAGTCATGTTCATTGATTTCAGTGGGTCTACTCTGAGTAAAATTTAGTTGGATCTTTGGCTGAAAGGGTGGGATACAAATTTAATAGTTTGCTGATATCAGAACAAATGTCAGTTCCTCGCTTTTAGACCTATACTTGCTGGTATAAGCAGTGCTGGATTTATAAGATTTTCTCTCTCCTCATTGAGCATTAATGAGTTGTAGGTTACTGAAAAGCTCTCTGGCTAATATGGGTTGGAAATTCCATACGTAATATGACTCACTGTGGTGTGAGGGTTGTCTTTGTCCCATCTGCTATTGGTTTGGTTTGCCAGATATATTATGAATAATTGGCATGGGGGCTGAGGACCAATCCAAGCACATTGCCCGCCCCCAATGTGGAGACAAAAAAATAACAATTCTGCATGGCAGTGCCCCAGAAGAGCCTAGTCTTGTGAAGTGGCCACAATCAACAACATGACCAAAGCATGAAACTCTCAGGAGAAATTGCCTTTGTCTCTGACATAGAAGCAACCCCACCCGCAAGAGTTTCATAGATGAAGGGGTTGTGCTGATTTGCTTCTGATATGGATTCCAGGACTCCACTCAACTGAAATGGCAAATTCCAGTTCTTTATTACCCTAACTTAACTGAGATTTAGATAGTTGCAGCAACTGACTTCCTAAATGTCTAAAAATAAAATTGACACGCATCTGTTTTCCACCTCAAAAGTTCAGCGCACACCCACGTGGATGCTTCCCATGCTGGTCCTTCCAACTCTACAACTCTATGATTCTATGATGGTCAGCGGTTAGCGCTAAACCAGCAGGGAACTCCAAGAGCTTCCTGCAATGTTCTCCATAACCTGCGCTGGGATTTCTGCAGCATTTCCCATCAACTCCAGCGTAAGCACAGTGATTATGGCCCCAATTGCCTAATGACCGTGCATTGGAAGTAGTCTGCATTTTCTCATTTCTCACCGAGGGAGAACTAACCAGAGTTTATTTGCAGACAAGACAGCAGGCTTCAGTAATTCCAAGGGGATGACTTTGGATCAATGTGGTGGCTGCATTTGATTTGTAAGAGCTTTGGAAACTTTGTGTCTACTTGAGCTGCTGCAAGACAATTCTCCTGATGCATGTCTTCCTCTCTTGCTAATTGTATTCTGTTGAAGTGGCTGGGTCTGCTGCCTAACCTTAGCAGGCAAGGGAGGTGGGAGTGTTGCACCCCTTTGTCTTGAACAGAGACCACTATGTCTGGTGAGTAAACAAAGCTGCTTAGCAAGCAGAAACATCACTCAGCGATTTTGCACTCAGCGGGAATAACCTGTTGGTCAGCTCTGCGTGTGTGTATGTGTGTATAAGGGAAGCCATTGATTTCCATCTGACTTAAGCAATTGATGTTCCATTTACATTGCCAGAGCCCTTTTCTTCTTGGTGGCATTTGAAGTAGAAGGATGGATTTATTTACTTTTTTGTCGCTTACTAAGTTCCTTGCTGAGTGTGATTAAAGGGAGGAAATCCATGGTAAATCCAAAAGTTTGTTCCACTTGTGCCTGTGGATAAATTCCCATCTGTGGCTCTTGCAGGGCATCCAGAAAATTCCAAATTCCCTGCTCTGAGTGGCTAAGCCTTAATTGGAGATTTCTTAGATCGGACTTTAAAAACCTTAATGCCTTATTGACTGGAAAATGTAATTTTGTTTTTTGAGGATCAGAGGATAAAGCTCTTCTAGTACAGTCAATCTCCTTGTGAAACAGAGATTTGAGTGAAAACTTTTCAGTTTAAGTATTGAAATATTGCCACCCCCTTTGCTGCAGGTCACATGGAAGTCAATGTAACCTTTTATTGCTCAGTTCAAATCTTACTGAGAACAACATACTCACCCCACCTCTCTCCCCAGGCAATACTTTCAACAGTATGATATTCTTAAATTTTCCAACTTTGCTGAAGTGTTATTGGCTAACTTGTGTTTGACCTTGTCCTGTGCCTCTCTCATGTGCTCATGAGATTCCACTAGGCTATCTTGATGGAATCTAAGGGTTCAGGAGTAGTTGGTAAGATTATGTGAATAAATACACCATCAATGGCTTCCACAATCCCTGTGGAGGTGTGTTTCGTGGCACCTTTGTTATATGTCATCATATGCTGAAGACACACCTCTTTACCTGGCCTGATACCACACACACACACACACACACACAAAAAACCACACAACTTCCCACTTATGTGAGGGGTTATGTTTTGGCATCCTGTGTGTATAAGTGAAAATCACGTAAGTGAAAATAACGTAAATGTCCTCTCTGCTACTCTCTCTCCAATCCAGATAAAAAATACTGTACCTAAAAGATCCACAACTGGAATTGAATCTTTGGGGCTGGCTGGCAGTAACCTGCCCTGGGACCTCCTTATATTTATCATATCCAATCTTTTCCCCTAACTGGGATTTCACCACATGGTGAAGGGTGGTTAATAAATCAAACCAACCAACCAACCAACCAACCAACCAAACAAACAACCATACCTGTAAGTAGTAGTCATGGATATATTGGGTCAACAGGATGCAACTAGCATTTCTTCTGATACACATTCTGATTTGCTGTATGTTTTATATTCTCTAGTTAGGTCTATGGAGCCCATGTTAGGGAGACTCTGAGGGGAAAAACATTGGCAGCAGTGTCAGTGTTGATGGGCCCCTTCCATTTGTGAGCCCTGGTGCATTTGCCCCCAGTACAGTGGTACCTTGGGTTACATATGCTTCACGTTACAGACTCCGCTAACCCAGAAATAGTGCTTCAGGTTAAGAACTTTGCTTCAGGATGAGAACAGAAATCGTGCTCTGGCGGTGTGGCGGCAGCAGGAGGCCCCATTAGCTAAAGTGGTGCTTCAGCTTAAGAACAGCTTCAGGTTAAGAACGGACCTCCGGAACGAATTAAGTACTTAACCTGAGGTACCACTGTACTTCCCCTTAAAACGGGCCTGCTCCAATATTAGTAAAAGGAGATGAGTTCTAAATTACACTTTTTCATATTTGCTCTAAAACTAATGTGTGGTATGAGATCTTTTGTATCTGTGTATTCCCCTCCCCCCCACCTACATAATTTATTCTCATTGTCCTGGCCTTTGGCTAAACTTATTGATTGATTGAATTTATTATGATTAATTTTTTTTACATACGGTACACATTCCCCACCCCAACCCCGTTTGCTTCTACTACAGAACCCCACAAAGCCTCTTTGAAGGTTAATGCATTTGCTACAGGGATATTTTTCCTCCTTGATGAAATTTTGGCTTCTGAGACTTTTAATCAGGATTTTCAGCGGGAACAAGTCCTTGAAGTTCAGATACTGGAGGAAATATTCCTTGAGGACTGTGGTTTTACAGTAGCCCACAGTCCTTCATGCACAGGAAAAAGGGCATAAAGAGGGAGTATGAAATTGGCAGGGAGGGGGAAGTTCACAACTATGGAGAATGTGGCAGAAGGTCACAGCATTTTCAAGACTGGTGGAGGAGGATAAGACTTTGAAAGCAGAGTTCAGTATAAACTCCTTAGAGTGAGTTGGCCTTCCCAACTCTCTCTCTCGATATGGAGGATTTGCTCTTTCTCTGTTAAGTGCTGCATCTTGGAAGCTTCAAGTATTCAAAATTCCTTTAAGGCTTTAGGGCTTAACGATATAAGGATATTTACTCATCAAGTGAGAGTCAAACCTCAGTTTGAACTATTCTTAATTATCTTTTGACTTGGGTTAAGCAATCATTTTTCTTAAAGCTGATAGACTGGAAGGACCCAGAGGAAAATAATGGACCAGTAAGTCAAGTCTTTGATTAAAAGGATAGAAGGCACCATTGATCACTTTACAAACACATCTGGCCCAGATCCTCACCGTAGAAATAGCAGGCCTCTCTTAAATGTGGGCTCATTCCACTTATGTGATCTCCAGGTGCAATAGCAATGTCCTTATTTCTTTCTGTCACCAGTCAATCATTCAAGTTATTGGCTGTCCTTCAGGGCCAGGGTAGCATATAACTGGAGATCAATATAAGAAATAAAACTCAGAATAAACACGGTACAAAAATCGTAAAAGCATCAGCTACTAAAATCAGTAGCATTGACAACATCCAGCAGAGAGCCATCAGATGATAAATTTAAACCAGCTGCAAAACGTAATGGAATGTCTGATCAAATAAAGGGCTGTGTCCATTGTTCACTGGCAGCTGGTGCAAGTGCTCTTGTACTACTGGATGCGCAACAGAAGAATCCAACACAACATTTGTGCTAGCAGAAACTCATTGTGCAACAGACTGTGCAGTTTTTTGCACAAAGAAGTTATCAGCAACCTGATTATGTGTTCTCTTGTTCCATAATGTTCCACTGGAGCAAAATAATTCACCAGTGGAACAAGAAGACCACTAAGTGACTCTGTCTTAGTCCTACTCTGGATACAACCCAAAGTTTCTACCCAGCTTCAGAAGGACAGTGATGCTGGTGCCAGAGGAGTTTTTCCACAGAGATCATTCTGTATGTGACATATTGTGATTGAGAGAGCCCTCTCCCTGATTGCTGTCCTTCAGATGGTGATATGGAAGACCCTTCTTTGCTCTCTAACTTCAGGTGGTAGGGTGACACACAGGAAAGCCGCTGAACAATGCAGTGTACAAGTAGGCTGCGATAGTAGCAGCCTTCATGATTCATTGAAGGGTGGTGGTGGGCCTACATAGCCAAATAAATGAAAATAACTAAGTCCTAGGCCAGTAGTGGAACCTTTTTCAGATGGAGAGTCTCACTTCCTTTGGGGGGAATCTTTCAGGAGCTGCATGCCAGTGGTTGATAGGGCTAGAGGCAAGTGGGTGGATAAGTGGATGTGACTTTAATATAAACCAGAGGTTTATACACACACCACTCTCCACTCAGGCAAGCCAGTGGCATGCTCATAGTTAAGCATGCCACATTCCAGCCAGATAAAAGTCCTGAAAAAGAGTGTGGAGCGGAATTGACCTGGCACAGGGCATGGCCCAGCAAGAGTCCTGTAGGTGTGAGAAAGAGCCCTGAAAGACCACATTTAACCCCTGGAC